CTATAAAAGAATCCAGCACTATCACTACTATTCGTTATCTTAATGTGCTATAAGTCAGTATATTAAACAATTTTGAATTATGATAATTTAATTTAGGGTCTGCATTATTTTCTAATTTTATAAAAATTTAATTGCTTGGCAGACCTGTAATATTTTTTTAAATTATTCTAAGGTTGAATACAGTATTACCGAACCATTCTAAAATTGAAATAAAATACATGTTCTATTTTAAAAATATACCAAGCAAAAATGTAGCACCCTGTATATATCTAAAAATATTTTTAAAATATGTATTTTTTAAATCCATATAACTTTTTTTTGAAACATGTTTGCGTGTCTTTAACATAAATTAAAATATTGAACAATTACGCACTAATAGGACATACACATGGGTACATACACATAGCAGTCAACGTGTTAACTCAGAAATAAGATTCCTTATAAAGATAAAATAACATTCAGGAGAAAAAAGCAAAGACCGCCAATATTACGTGCGTATCATACAATGATGCCAGGTCATTCGGATTTAATTTACATCGGAATGCAATAAAGTTCCTTCCCTTTCCTGCATTTCACTATTGTATATTTCACCCACTTTAAAATCAAATTCGTCCTAGAAAGAATTGTGAAATTATCGTATAAATCGATAATCTGGCAACGTGGTCAACACTTGTTCATACACAGGCAAAATCAATCGATAATTTGGAACCAAACGAGACAAATATATATGAAAATCACGAAACAATAAAAGACGGCATACACCTGTATCACTGTTTCAAAAATTGGTACCTCTAAACAATCATTTACCTATTAAAACCATCTCTAAAGTAGAATAGCTATACTGTTTTTACGGTGACATCTTCTTAAAAATAGATGAACTACATGAACTGTACACAATTACAGGAATTCATAGAAAATCTCTAATTTGACAAATAAATTTATCAAATATTTGTTAATCGTATTTCCAGTTAGATTTGAAAAATACGCAATAAAATTTAGAAATATTTTGGCGGGATACTTGGAAAAATATGTAGAATGAAATCTCCTACTTTTTAGCCTCTGGTTTTAAAATCACTTTTTATGATTTTTTTTTAAATTCAGTGTATAAACAGGACAAATAAAAAATAGGAGATTTCATTCTCCAAACCTTATACTTTAAGCTGGTAGAAGATTTATTTTAATTCATTTAGCGGGATTTAAATGCAATCGGAAATGGTGAACCCTTGCTTCTTATATGAGAAATACAGTGATACTGCGGCCTTAAATGTCAGTTGCATTTTCATAAACTGGACCGGAATAAGTTATCAGATGTTTGTTATTATTAGAAGACCGCCTTGTACAAGATTAAACTCTGAAAAAGAAGACTGTTTAAGGAGGCTTTCGGCACCGTGCTCTCGATATGCGGTAATAGATAGGCTTTATCAACATCACTTTCGTGCAAGCATAATACCACGTAAAGGCATCAAAATTAAGCATGTTAGAACAAAATAGTAGTTTGCGCAACAAGAATGGATATCGATAATCCACTCAAATTGTACAGTATATTTTTTCTACGACTCACTAACGATCTACAAATTTAAATAATTATTTTAGGTTACTAAGATAAAATAACTAATTTTAAAATTATGACCTTTACTAATTTATTAAATAAAATACAAAAAAAAGGTTTAATTTAATTTGTTCCGAGCCCAGATTTGAACTGGGGTCCCTCGTATGGAAGGCAGGCGCTGTGTCCTTGCCTTCATCGCCACTTCTGGGATTATAGTTTTATTATTCGTAATTAAATTATTTTCATATAGCTTAACTAAAATGTATTTTTTTCTAAATGTGAACAAAATAAAATAAAAATGCTAATATTTATCGACTATATACAAAAATAACTCATTTTATTGTGTATTAAAGGCCAGTTTTTTCACATTTGAGTAAAGTTGAAAGTAACTACTTACTTACTAATTAAACTATTGTTTGTTAATCTGTCAAGTAAACCTACATGTAACTTTACCAGAGGTAAAAAAATTGGCCCTTGATCTCCATAACTAAAAAATATACTGACAATTAGTCTGACAAAATTTTCATATATTTAAAATTTTAAAAATTATGGTAGTTGGATTTTCAAAATATGAACTACGATTGGTGGATTTCATTTTTTTGCAGTATTCTCTCTACCTAAAATGGATATAAAATATATTCGTCTACCAATAATATTAAATGGGACCTTATGGCAAGTGACACCTCATTTGAAAGGTATTTAGAATACCTATTCAATCATACTATTTTTTTTTGAATTTACGATATTTTTGATGGTTAAAATAAATAAACACTAAAATTTGAGTTTCGCTTTTAATTAATAAAGATTCAAAAGTCCGCCTATGGTTAATTGTCAAAAAAGCAGAAATTTTTTAATAGACGTTTTTACCGGCGATAATATCTTGAATTTTTAGTTTAATTATTGTTTAAGTATCTACATAAACAAAATGGTACGTGCTTTAGCTGACAAAATAACAGCACAAAATAACAGCAATCTTAATTATTGGTGAAAGTGGAAATAATTTTCATGCGACGGAACGCATTTTTAATGAGAGATACTCCGATCGCTTTATATGGAGGACTTATTTGAGGGAGCTTTTTCATAAGTTTCAACAAACAGGTAGTGTTCATGATGCCAAACCATCGGGTCGACCAAATATTGGTATTAATAAACAAATTGATATAGTTGCAGAAATTGTAGTAAACCCTACTTCTTCCACAGCCCAAGTAGCGTCTACCGTTGGAGTTAGTCATAGTACAGTACACAGGGTGTTGACCAAAAACAAATTTTACCCATACAAATTAAAAATGGTGCATCAACTTTCAGATGACGACCCTGACCGAAGGCTGGAATTCTGTGAAAATATGTCGACTAAAATTCTCCAACAGCCAGACTATGTAAGGACAATTTGTTTTAGTGACGAAAGTACTTTTTTCCTTAATGGAAATGTTAATACTCAAAATGCGAGGTATTGGAGTGACATAAATTCTCACATGTTTCGTGAAAAACATACACAGTTCCCATTAAAAGTAAATGTCTGGGTAGGTATTTTGGGAAACCATATAGTCGGGCCTCTTTTTTTGAACTCTAATTTAACCGGTGAGGTATATCTCGAGATTTGGTAACTTGGAAATAACGTTCCAACAAGATGGTGCTCCTGCGCACTATTACATTGCAGTAAGACGTTATTTAGATGAGGAATATCCTGGTAGATGGAGTGGACGACGTGGTCCAATAGAATGGCCAGCTCGGTCACCGGACCTAACACCTCTAGATTTTTTCTGTGGGGATATCTTAAATCTAAAGTTTACACTACAGCTCCTGAGAGTATTGACGTTTTAAAACAGCGAATATATGCAAAACTACGAGTGTGTTTTTTTTTGTACAAAACGTTGCTTTTTATAAAAAGGATTTTTCAAATAAAAATCTGTAATTCATTTTTTTAATATAAGTTCAGAGAGTTTTAGTATAATTCGATATAAAAGATTGGCCACATGAGAATTCAAGATACCATCAAATATCTTATATAATGAGTACCACTGTATAAAAAGAATAAAAAAAGAATATTTTTAAATTTGAGCTTCAATTAGATTATATGTTTATAAGTTCAGAGAGTTTTAGTATAATTCGATATAAAAGATTGGCCACATGAGAATTCAAGATACCATCAAATATCTTATATAATGAGTACCACTGTATAAAAAGAATGAAAAAAAAGTATATTTTTAAATTTGACCTTCAATTAGATTATATGTTTATAATTCGGTTTTAAAAATATGTTAATTTAGTATTTAAAATATATTATTTTGATGAAGTGAAATCTAACCGAATATCGTATATATCTCCTTAATACGAACATACTATGTTGCTAATAATAATGATTTTTTTTTATTGGTACCCTATTTTGCTTATTTAAAGTACGCCTCATCATGTTCAAAACGAACTTTAAAAAACGCGCGTGTTTTAAAGTTACCATGGCAACATCAACAACCCGAGAAACGTGATGTCTAAATGCCAACTTTTTAAATATTGATCTGACAGGAGTGCCTTGTAATGTCAAATAAAATATTTCTGAGAAATTTTTCAAAAAATTTATTCAAATATTTTTTCACATTCTTATTTGTTTAAATAAATGTGGAAAGTGCAGTTAGTATTGTTTGAAATATTAAATCTTTGGTTTTTTAAATCAGAGGAAATACTGTTCAAATTAAGATTGCTAACATTCTTGGAAGTCAATGAAGTTGTACTTCCATTAATAGCACTTCCAATAATATTTGAAACATTCGTCTTATTGCTAATGCTCTCTCCAACGTAACCAGTCGCCACAGCTACCGATTTCCATCCTACTTGTCGTTGGATTTGATCTATTGTCATGTCATTATTCGCCATAATGGTAGCGGACGTACGTACTCTTTCGACATTTTCTGGAGATAAGCGAGAACAACTCGTTCATCTATATGTGTAACTATTTGCTCTTCCATCCACTTGTTGAATTTATCGTATTCTTTTTTATAAACCGCTTCGGATTTTTGTGGTATTAAGCGCGATTCTGCTTTATTATTTAAATACTCAATATCTGAACTCATTTTAAACAATAACAACTTATCTAAGATAACAACTGTTGCGACAATTAATCTTAGGTGACAGATTGAACATAAATTTTTATTTGTCTTATTTTCATGGCAACGAGGTATACTGATGTTACATCACAAATTTAACCATTTTCAGTCATTAGTTCTTATTTCCATTTTTTTTGTAGAAATAATACCAATATTTAGGATTTCAAAGTATACCAATAAAAAAAATAGCGTAAAGTATTCGTGGATAACTGGTCTTTAAAACACTTGCTCTATTTCGAGCACTCCGGCTGCGCCGTCGTGCTCGAAAAATCGCGCGTGTTTTAAAGACCGTTATATCCCACTTATACTTTAATATACTATTTTTGTAATGTAATAAACGAGTTTAAACTTACGTTTGTATAGATATCCTTTTCAAATACATTTCCATAATCACGAGAATTAATTTTTATTTTCAAAAAGGCATTATTTGATGTCTTAACATAAATCGATATGCAAATGTCTTTTTCAATTTTAATAGGTGGGCCCAATTGTTTGTCTTCATAGCCTGATACGCTAAAACTTTCTAGAAAGGCATCTGCAACGAAAGTAAAATAAAGTTAATTAAATAAATTATTTTGTGATAATACATTATGGACGGAGTGATAATAAATTATAGACGGAGTGATAATACATTATGGACGGAGTGATAAATGAAATATACATTATGTGACCGTTATATAGGGTTTACCATGCGAGCATGGAACAATCGAGGGATAATGAGCTATCCTTTTGAGGACGTAAACCCTATATATGTATGTTGGAAAGGTAAAACCTTCAATTTTGCTATTTCTGTGTGGAGGTGAATAATAGTGTTCGCATATGCAGGAAAAAAAAACATATGCCAGTTAGGCCAGCCGTCAGAAGCATCGACAAAAATTATTACAAAAAAATACGATTAAAATTGTATAACTTTAGGTACAGCCTGTGATGCTTATTATGCCACCTTTAGATGATCCTACTGTCTTAAATATTTAAACATAAGTATGACAGGAGCAGAAGTTGGAAAGGCTTTTGGTAAGAAGAAAGATGATAAACGTCAAACCGCGTCGGACGACTTCAAGAATTTTGCGGTGTTTATCTACCAGTGTCGTTTCGTAGAATACATAATTTTAAATTGTAACTGGTGGAACCGGACAATCGCATGTATTTATGGACTATAAATAATTACACAGCCATACAAAAAAAATTCTGGTCTGGCTATCATACCGTGTTTGCTATGTTTTTGGGGTCGCTAAATTCGAATCCGGGGTTTGGCCATAACCTCAAAAAACCCAATAATTGAGGCCTTTCAGCACTTTTTTAAATATGTTTGTGATTTTTAGTTTAAAACAGTCTAAGGCTTATCTGGAGCTTCCGCTTATCCAGAACATGATCATGAACATAATCTCAATACTCGTTTACCATTTTACATCAGTACGAGGATGGTTTTGAGAAAAACTCAACATTTATAACGCAGAAAGGGACAATTTAGTTATGTTGCCTTCGAAAGTTATATAAATTGGTTCTTAATGAGGGTTTTTTTAATCTGCATGGCCAAATGTGGCTTCATATCGTGTTTTCAATGTTTTTGGAGTCACTAAATTCGAATTCGGGGTCCATTTCACCCTATCACGTCAGGGTTTGTCCATAACCTCAAAAAACCCTGTGAAACAAACTATAGACACAAAAGCCAAACTCCTAATCCATAACCTCATACTACCAAAAACTTATGACCCCATAATGCAATAGCCACATAACCTTACAAAACGCAATAATTTACAGCTACACAAAAAAAAAGTCTAGGGATCAGACCATGTTTTCTATATATTTTTGGGGTCGTTGAATTCGAAGCCGGGGTCCATTTAACTCTATATGACAGTATCTTGCTATAACCTCAAAAAACACAATAATTGAGGCTTTTTAGCACTTTTTAATGCATATAAGCCTGTAACTCAAACTTTAAACACAAAAGACATATTGTTAACTCCAGGCCCATAACCCTGTAACACCATAAATTCGTAACCCCCTAATAAAATAACCCCATAACCTTAAAAAAACGCAATAAGTAAGGGTTTTCAGCCCTATTGAATGCATATAAAAATTGAGACGTAAATTATTGTGGACAAAGGTTTTTTGTGGTTATGTCAAAACACTGACTTAATAAGGTTAATCGAACGCCGGATTCAAATTCAGCAACCCCAAAAACATATAAAAAACATGGTCTGATCCCCTAACCTGAATTTTTTTTTGTGTGGCTGTGAATTATAGCGTTTTTTAAGGTTATAGGGTTATTGCATTATGGGTTTATGAGTTTATTGGGTTATATGGTTATGGTTTTGGCTTTTGTGTTTAAATTTTGAGTTACAGACTTATATGCAATAAAAGTGCAGAAAAGCCTCAATTATTGGGTTTTTTGAGGTTATAGCTAAACACTAACATGACAGGGTTAAACGGATCCCGAATTTAAATTTAGCGACCCAAAAAATATAGAGAACATGGTCTGATCTCCAGTCCCTAAATTTTTTTTGTGTATCTGTAAATTATAGCGTTTTTTAAGGTTATGGGGCTATTGCATTATGGGGTTATGAATTTATGAGGTTACGATATTAAGGATTTGGAATTAACAGCATGGCTTTTGTGTTTAAAGTTTGAGTCACAGGTTAATATGCGTTAAAAAGTGCTGAAAATCCTCAATTAATGAGATTTTTGAGGTTATTGCAAAACCCTGAAGTGATAGGGCAAATTCAGGGACCTCATTTTTTTGTGTGGCCGTGTTATTAAACAAGTATTATAATTTTGTATATCGCGGTAACTAAGCTCTTTAAGGGTTCATATATGTATGTTATTCACGTTTCGAGAAGAAAATCGTTTAAATAAAAGTTACTTCTTAAATTATTCTCCATAGTTTCTATTGTTAACGAATGTTTTCTAAAATGGTTCGTATTCGAGAAATTTTACAAAATGTAAAAAATTTTAATTTTTTAGAACAATATTTAAATATTAAATGTTTGTTATATTACACACACACACACACGCACGCACGCACGCACGCACGCACGCACGCACGCACGCACGCACGCACGCACGCACGCACGCACGCACGCACGCACGCACGCCGCACGCACGCACGCACGCACGCACGCACGCACGCACGCACGCACGCACGCACGCACGCACGCACGCACGCACGCACGCACGCACGCACGCACGCACCCACACACACACACACACACACACACACACACACACACACACACACACACACACACACACACACATATACATATATAAAGGTCAAATAGGTTGTTTCAATAAAATAGGCTGTATTTTTAGCCGTTATACAAACTAATTTTCCAGTTCTTGTTGCCGTTTTAATGGTTGTAGCTACAGAATGGCTAAATAACTGAGTAGCGAGCTTTACGCTAATTTTTTCAACTGTATTTGGGAAAAGGTTTATACACCTATTTAACATCAGCAAATCTAATAAATTTGCAATTTAAGATAAAAAACTTATTTTGAACGAATTTTACTAGGTCAGGCACATAAAAAATGCAAAGTAAATGTTATCTAGAGTAATGCCCAAAGATCTATAGACTTTTGGTTAACTGTAGATAAATCACACACTATCCCTATAGGTTCCAATCCTGAGTCTCGAATATGTGTTAAACCTTTAATAATAATAGTTTCGAGGGATTAAGCATCGACACCGTTTTGGGTTGGAAAAAGAGCTACTGGAATTTTTCATTGGTAAAATACACTAAAGTTTACCCGGCAAAAATTGGCTTTCTTTTTTTGTTCTCGTAGTCTTCAAACCCTTCAATGACATCTAATTTTTTATTATATTCGATGGTTTTCTTAATTTTCATCTAATCGAATAACAGAATACATTTTTTTGTCCTCGTTTGTCATTGTCTCTGATTTAATTCAAATATTTTTAAATATCCAATGTCAGGGTTCATAAAATGTTACGCAACTTCGTTTGTTTGTTCTTTTATATTATTCACTTATTTTAAAAGCAGAAACTCATAACCTTGCAAGAATTTAAGATTTTAGTTGAGAAGAATTCGCATACCTCATCCCAGTCTGTTTATAAGATCGTTGAATTAAAAAAGAGAAAACTTGTAATATATATCCATGATACTATAAAAAGAACATTATATTACGGCGATTGATATTACATCACGGCGACATATTGTGGTGATCGAAAACAGCGCGCAAAAATACGTCATGCGCGAACTCGTATCGTGTAATATATCTTAAAGTTGACAATAACAAAATATGATTACATCATTCAACGGTAGCAACATAAAATCCTAAATTCTAAATAATTATAAATTTTCCATTTCCTTTTTTTTTGTTATTTATGCGTTGTGCTTTTGTTATAAGGGAAGCAGAATATATCTTTAGAAATTGAGGTGAGTACTACACTAGTTTTATTTATTAGTTTTACAGCCGATTGAAAAGCAGAACCTTATGTTTTTTTAGGCATAAGTATTGTTTGTTTTATTATAGTTAATTTAAAAAATATTAAAACTCTTGTTAATTAAATAATTGTATAAATCCTTTTAAATTGCCTATAATTTGTTTCAGATTAGTGCATTTAAAGTAATTCGTTGAAATGAAGACATTTGCCATCTTTAGGGCTGTGTCAGTAAAAGTAACATGCAATTTATTTAACGTTTCCAGAATAAAGTATTAAGGAACATCGTCGATACACTCTGGTACTGCCGCAATACTGAACTTCATGGGACGTTATAGTGGAAATTGTTGAAAATAGAATACAAAAAGTCACCAACAATGACTGCTCCAACATGGAAACCTTGAGATTATCCAGCTCCTTTACAATGCCAATCTAATACAAAGACTCAAGAGAACCAATCCTCTTGAGTCATTTCAGTGATTAAAGAGATTAAAACAGAGTATAGTGCGGTTAAGTGTTATACGTTAACGGTAGTGTAACAAAATAAGTTTTCCATCCCTAGATAAGTTAGGTTAAAGTAAAATTCCTAATTGATCTTAATGATCAGTTTGTAATAATCGTGAATGTTCTGAAACTCGACACCCCTGGGTCTGAAATATTTTTATTCTTTTCTTTAAATAGTTTGTTGCGTTGTTCGAGGATATATCAATCACTTTCTATTTGGCACGTCTTTTGTTCATCGAGTGTAAATTGTTAGAAGGCAACTTCTAACTCAGAGGGCGGTCCGGGAGCCGTATATTGTTCGGGCTGTTTTTCGGGGTATTATGTTACGTGAAAGTTGAGTAGGCCCGCTACTCAACCTTTCTCTGTCTTATGCATTGACTAAATGGGAAAATTAAAGTATAAATACGGAGTCCGAAAGTAAGAACGGGGTTAGAATTCTTCCTGCCTTTCTCACGTCCAGTTGACAAAAAAAGTGTAAGATTCAGTTATCTATAAGGTGACTCCCTTCTATTTACTCTTCAAGTATATTGATTGGTTTATCCCGTTTAACTATAAGGTGACATCTTTTTTTGTTATATTTGGAAAACGCAGTAAAAGATATCGAGGGAGCAGATAAGTTATTTTCTGTATGA